CTATGCAAAAGGACGTTATAACTTTAAAGTCCAATGAAAATTGAGGTATGATGATAGCAGTATCTATAAATATATTTGATTTAAAGTATATGATTTGATATGAATTATAGGTGATGACTGTGGAAGAGATGCACAAAAGCTTTTTGTAACCAATTGACACACTTTCTATAGTATGTAAAGAAAGAAAGTGTTGTGTTTGTTTGTGTATGTAAAAATAAAAAATTTCAAAGAAAGGAGAAAAGAAAGGTCCCTTCCAATCCTAAGATTCTATGCCTTTGTTCTAGGATCAGGCAACCCTTATTGCAAGGTGACTTCCCTTGAGGTGCTTCTGAATTGTTCCTTCTTAATTTGCTTCAATTCCAACCACTACTAGACCTGAAGCTCCAGATTAGTGCTTTGGGTCAAAGTCTTGGTCAAGTCTCTCTAGCCATATCTGGCTAACTGTCCAAATAGACATGCCTGTCTGTCTTTGCTTAGGCTCCCTGGCATTGGGCACCTTCTTGTAAGAGAGGGACTCCAGAGCCCGTGTTTCTCTGCCAAGGAAGACGTTTGAGGGAAGGGTGTGCTTCCAGATGAATTTATGAATGCTTCCAAACAATATTTTTCTTTGCAGCTGTGCTGTTTCAGATCTATACACAGGTTTCAGAATACAGGAGTAGTCATCTTTAATTTGCTCTCCTCTAGGACTTTTCCTGCTTCCTTTTTACTTATAGAACAGAAAAAACTGGAAGGTGAACACTATTATGCCTAGCAACAGGTAAATTGGCCTCATTCTTATGCCCTGCTTTTTGTAACACAAAGATATAGTCTAATCACTCCCAGGAGGGGTTCACAATATATGGCCTCCATCTCATCCAACTAAAACAGTCTTCTCCCAACCAAAGTCTTGCCATATGGCTGGTGATGGTGCAGAGAACAAAGTTTAACTGCTTAAGTCTGTTGCTGGACATTTTGGCTTGCTTGGGAGAGAGATGGGACACTTATCTTCTGCAGCCTATATTGTAGTTGCTGCTGTTATTGTTGCCTTTAACCAGGAATATCTCAATTGTCATGTGGTTGGCTAGGAAGTGCCCTGAGTGATGTTGGAACCTGTCTGAGTCCCAGCCTTATGGGCAAGTGGGTCTTTTAGTTTGCTTCCTTTGGATGGGCACAGATCCTCGTGTCCATTTGGGCTTGGCTGCAAGAGAGACAGGGCATCTGGCTTGCACAGAGCAGGCCTATCAGCCCAAAATGTATTTATGAATTTATTTAGTCAAAGCACTAGTGCTATTGGAGGAGATTGATTGAGTCATGTGGGAAATAAATAAATAAAATTCTGGCTTGCAGCTGAAGTGATTGGGATCCATGCAAGTTCTGGGCTGATCAACACATATTGTTTGCAAAATAAAAATGGCAAAGAAAGTGTTCTGGCTGAGCAGTCAGTGGAACTTCATGGAGGAGCCAAATGAAGTAGGAGGGAGCCACTGATCCAATTGGCAGATGAGCTTCTCAGGGCAAAAAACAAAGATTAAAAATCCTCTGGCTGATTTAGATAACCCATAATGGGCAGTAGGGAAGCTGAGCTTTGGCGGCAAGACAGCTTGTGTTTGCATGCTTTTCTGCCAGATCATGCTGGAAAAATGCATGCTACCAGCCATGAGGAAGAGCCCAAGAGGCCCTGCTTGAAGCATGTAAGGCTCAGGACTGGCTCCATCCTAGAGTTAAGGAAAGGGTAGTTTGTGGAAATAAATTCAAAGAGAAGAAAGAGAATTGTCTTAAATAGCAGTGGGGTTGGAGGCACACATATGGTGGCCTTCTGAACCCTAACTCTACCAACTGAAAGTATCTCTTACCACAGAGGGATAATTGATCACAGAAATCTGATAGCCAACGATAAGGTTCCCACCAATCCCAAGGACAAAGATCATTTGAAAGAACTTCTGGTAATGACCCTGTAGAGAGAGCAAAACATGAATGAGAACTAAAACAAAAGTTGTCCCTAGTCAGACTCTTTCAGAAGGTTTTCTGATCTTGGGAAACCCTAAAAATATGTTGTGGATGGGTGGGGTAGGGAGAAAACATGGAGGGACTCTGGGCTAGAGAATCCCAATCCTGTGATTAGTAGAAAACATGTTCAGAAGTTGCTTAGAATTGCTTTCCATGAGAGGAACCATGATGGGTCATTAAATATAATATAATTAATAATCATAATATTTAATATCATAGTGATGATGGATAATTAAAGAGTGATCCAACCTAGAACTAAGGAGAAATTTCATGACAGTGAGAACAATTAATCAGTGAGCAACTTCCCTCTAGAAGCTTTGGGTGCCCCATCACTGGAGTACCCAAAGACTGCTTCAGTGTCAAAAAGACTGTCCAGCCATTTGCCCGAAATGGTATAAGATCTTCCCTGGGAAGATATTGGACTGGAAGAGCTCCAAAGTCCCCTCCAATTCTGTGTTCTATGTTGTATGGATTTTGATGATTATGATTATAGCTTACAATTATTTTTGAGGTAAATGATTGAGCAGCAGGAAGGTTCTACAAGAGAGAAGAAGGGTAAGTGTAGCAATGTAGAGTAGGTCCATAGGACAAGAGAACCAAGTAGGATGGTGGGCATATCTCTTAGAACCAACCAAACAAATACGAGGCCATCCACCACATGCTGGGCAAAGCCATAAAGCCTCACAGGAACATGCCATCCTGGCCTTGGAGCAGTTGACCCAGAGGTGGACTGTAGGGCTGCACAGGATGGACCAGTAAGCCTTTGTACTCCATGTGCCTCAGCTGCAGACTGCCACATTTACTGTCTGCCTACTCACCAGATTGGAGAAAAACCCCTGCATCATCCTGTAATTCCTCTTCACCAAAGAGCTTTGAGTGAGGAAAGTCAGCTGATTTTCATTCTGTTGAGCTACAGAAACCATGACAGCAGAGTGATCATTAACCTTGCCTGTTTCTGTTCTTCTTGCTCATTGGGTAAGATGAAATTGTTGGATAATCCATCCATTAATATATGCAGAATAAAAGAGTGGAATGCTTGATGGCAGAAAGTTAAAACTCGTTTAGGCATGAAATCCAAACCTACCAGCCAACCCTCATCCTTGCAAGGCTAGCTATACTTTTTGGTTCTAATTTGTTGGAAGTCCAAACCTCATTTGATTCCTTGCCACTACCTGTCATTACCTACTGACTGCCACTACAGTCATTACCTATTGATCTTTAGGGGACAGCTGACGAGGGGATTTTCATTGTGCTCCTTCTGTGTCTCCCAATGTCACTTTCCTTCTGAGACACATATGGACACATACTCAAGGACTCTCCTCATGGGAGGATGGGCTGGCCAAATCTTATTATACATTTCCTATAAACAAATCTGCTTCCTTTTCTAGTTATAAAATCCACTCACTAATCCTTGTCAGTTTGGTTCAGGAAGGCTCACAGCTCCAAGATACTCTCCTGCCTGAATGTAAAATATGGATTCCAGTTCACGTGAAGATCAGAGCTGTCCTGAATAACAGAATCACAGAATTGTTGAGTTGGAACATACCATAAAGAGCATCTAGTCCAAACTTCTGCAGTATGCAGGAAAACCCTTTAAACCAGGGGTCCCCAACCCCAGGTCATGACCCACTAGTGGGCCATGCTGGACAAGTAGCGGATGAGCATGCACATGGACGTTTAGCTCCATTTGCGTAGCGATGGGTTCTCATGCTCACATGTGCCCACCATTTGCAGAAATGGAGCTGTGTGCACTCTTGTGCATGCCTACCACTCACACAGATCCATCTCATCCACCCCCAACACCTGGTCGCCAAACTGGTAACGTTGGGTGCCACTGTTTTAAACTATACATGAAAAATGGCATCTTCTTAAATGTTTCCAGAGATGGAAAATTCACAACCTCCCAGAGAAGGCTGTTTCACTGTTGTATATTACTATCAGGAGTGTTTCTCTTATATTTAAGTTGAATTTAAGTAACTTTGCAAAAGGCCAGAGAAAATCCTTTATGGCCATCATATTGAATTTTTGCATGCTATTTCTGCAAAAGGGAGCAAATCAGACCAATTTTCTTGTTGCTAATTGATGTAACACCCGAGGTACTGCTTCAACACTCAGTTAGTCTGAGGGGGATGTGAGGAGCTGAGTTCTTCTGTAGTTCCTAATAATTTTAGGAACTCTTCCCAGAATTGGAAAGTGAACTGTACCCTTTGGTTGGAGGTTATCATTATCATCAGCCATATGTAGGCGATAGATGCGTTGTGAGGATCATGCAGATGGGATCTTGAGACATACCACAAAATGTACCTGTTCTGAGAATAGATTGGTGGTGATCCAAATTACAGTGTGTACTGAGCTTTTCAGTAGTAGAGTCCATGAATATCTCCTTCCAGGGTGCTGTAGAACTAGCAACTGGTTGCAATAGTCCAGGGCTGTCAAACTTGCAACCCATGGGCCAAATGTGTCACATGCTAGCCATGCCCATGCCTGTTTTAGCTAATGGGAAAAAGTAGTGATACATCATGTGTTGTTGCTGTGACGATGTGAGTTTGACACCCCTGCAATAGTCCTTGCTGCTTTCTGGCATGCCCTTTTGCAAATGAACACACAGGGCGACTACCTTGTTTTCCCCAAAATAAGACCTCCCCAATTAATAAGCTCAAATGGGCTTTTTAGCATGCACTCAAATAAGCTCTCCCCCCAAAATAAGCCCTCCCCAAAAATATTGCAACATAGCAGCAGCCATGAGGTGACCATGTAAGCTACCTCCTGCACCTCAAAAATAATAAGACCTCCCTGAAAATAAAGCCATGCGCTTATTTCATGGGTCAAAAGAAGGACATGTTGGCACACCTCTCACAAGAAAAAATATTTTCAGAGCTAGACCTGAGAGAGGCATATTATTGAATAAGAATAAGGGAAGGAGATAAGTGGAAAATGGCATTTAACACATCAGTGGGCTGCTACCAATTTAAGGTACTCCCTTTTGGATTGCAAGGAGCCTTCCATGAATGGCGTATTAGAGCAATATTTAAGGTGTTTTATTAATTATCAACAAGTTAACTGGACTGAGCCGAATGTCAACTCACTAAGCAATCATGGTCTGCCCTTGAGTTGGTCTTGGCAGGAAGGGAGGGGGAGAGAAATGATGGACCAGTTCAGCAGCCACGTTCAGAAGCAAATTCCACGCATACCTTCCTCAAGGTCAGATCTCAGATTACCAGTGCCAGCCTGAAGGACGAGGGGAGTTTATAGCCCGCAGAAGTACCTCATTGGACAATGTGATTAATGACACACTCTGGGAGGAGGGGGGAAACAAGGTCACAGTTGAACTGTAAATCACGTGCTGCAGAATTGACCTCAATCGGGAACAGTGCTGACATGATGCTCCTAATAAATAACTGGATTTCTTTTGAAATTTGGCTCAAGGCTCATGAGTTAATTAGGGCATCCATCAGAACCCTGACATTATTACCTTTTGCAGAGGTGGCATTCAACAACTCTATATACTCCAGCACAGGCTACACCCTTTTTATAGTAGTTACAGGCCAAGATTTCACCCCCATGCCAGAACTACCAATGGAAACACCCACCCTCCCCTCCCTGAAGCAATAGATGGAAACCCTACAAAACACTTAGAGAAACATGTAAATACCAAGCAGACAAGAAGAGAATGCAACCAAAATCTTTCCAAATAGGTGACAGAGTATACTTACAGTATTCACAAAATTATTGCAAACATTACAACCCTCAAAGAAATTAAGCCCAAATAGAATCCATCAAGGGAAAACCCAATACCTGGTAGCATGGAAACACCTACTCTTTTCCCAAAATGAGTGGGTGGACAAAAACACATCACCCCCACACTCTTAAAGAAATACCACACCCAATACTCTTACAAAACTTGCTAAAATATTATAATGGATTTTTTTGTGTTTATCTCTTACAGCTGGATCTATATTTTTCTAAGGGCAATATGTCAGATTACCAATGTGATACTGCCATTCAAATGGAGAAAGCGGGGAGCATGGAAATAAGCTGTATTTTTATAACCTTTTTCCTGGTGCCAAGTGCCCTGCAGTGTTCTCACCTTCTTTGAAATGTAACAAGGACTGTTTCAGTTTGCTGAAAGTGAAAGAAGATACTTATCTGTTTCTCAAGACAGCCATTACAATAAACATCTTCACACCTGTGGATTGGCTAAATCCACATCCGGACTGGAGGGAGGGGATTCTACCACCCTATTTCTAACTGTATAGTTTGGGAGGGAATTTAGAATCTGCTTCGCTATTATCCACATTCCATGTCCTCTTTCCTTCCCTCTCACTTCATTGGCAAGTTGAAAACCATTAAGGTTTGAAAGAAGCAAAATGGTTCAATTTTGACATAGAATTCCAATTCCTCTCCTAGGTCAGGGCTCTCATAGCTGCCCTCTGGTTTGGCTGTGGTGACGCTCCACGTCTGCTTGGTCTCTGCTGGAGATTGAGATGGTTGCACAATCCCCAGGGTAGGTTGGTTCTCTGGGTGGATTAACAATGCAGTTCTGGCTTAAAGACCTGCTTCAACTTGAGCCTCTAAGAAAGAATGTCAGTGTTCCAAATAGCATCCAAAAGTAAATCAGAGTCCAAGGCAAAGTATTGCTCAAAGTTTCAATTTATTGAGAGAGCCATGTTGGCACATCTGGGAAAACCTGAATCGAAAGCTTCCTGGTTTTTCCCACCTAATTGAAAGTTCAAGACCTTGCCCCCACACCCACACATGTCCAATCTCTCACTGCCATGTTCCACCCTTCCAGTTCTGGTCAGATGCAGAGGTGCAGAGACAAAGGATGATCTTGGCTTTCTAGAAATAATTTTGTTGTGGCTACATAGTATGTGACTCCTTACAATCCCCCCTCTCATTTTCCCACAATAGAAAATGCATAGCAGAATAATAGAAAGTATGGCAGGCCAAAGACCCAAAAGAAAAGACGGCTGCAGGCCTGCTAGTAATCCACATAACAACACATGCATTGTTCCAGCATTGCATTAGCCTTCTCTGCTGCTCCATTCATGCTCAGATGGAAAGCCGAGCTAAGCCCTTGTGTTAGGAATATAATTCTAATGGTTGGGTTGGCAATATATAAATCATATAGCAATGTTATACCTGTTTCTTTAAATCATACTGTAAAATGTGATTGGTTGCTGTTTTCCTCAGTCGGCCATAAGAGGGAGCCAGAATGACTGTTAGCTCTCTCTGTTTCCTTACATGCTGGGCTGATCTGGTCTGAGTGTTTTGGAAGCTGGCTGTTAGAAAATGCCGTGAGTTATTGTACGTTTTGCAACTGTTAGCAAACTTTGTGTACCGGACTGATTATATGATTACTGCACTAAGTTATTTGGATTATTCCTTAACTGAAAGACATTGATGATTGACTGTCTTATCCGTGTATGACTTGGACTGATTGATGGACTCTGATACCTCTAT